CGGCCTGCGGCGTCGCGTGTGCCCCGAGGGAGGGGAGCCTGCGGGCTCCGTTAGCTCCGCGCAGCGCCCTGCGCCGCGTCCCCTCCGCCGGCGACATCCTGTCCTTGGGGAGCGCTGGCCCTGAGGAGGGAAGCTATCACTGACCCGGGTTCCCTCCCTTAGTCGCTCCCGGGGACTGCAGAGGGCTTAGCCACATGGGGCAGCTCATGGCAGCTAGTCTTGCTCCTGTCTAGCCTCTGGAAATGCCACCAGGTCCCCTCGTGGTAGCGCCTCGTCCTGCTCTCCTCAGGTCTTAAATTCCCTGGCCCCTCATGGAGCAGCACCTTGTGCTGTGTGTGTGGAGTCTGGATGGAAAACGGGCCCTTCTAGGGCATCCTCCTGCACTTCCCTTGCACCCCAGTGGTGAAAGAGCAGGGGCAGTAGCTCGTGGCAGAGCTTATTTCAGCCAAGGTGATAGGCAAGAGGAAGGTGAGCAAAACAAACTCCCTCTGGAGAAAGCGTTATCCAGAACTTTCCTTGTGTGAGAGCACGGTGGAAACCATGTGCTTGGGCTTGTGGCCTGGTTTCTTCCTGTGTAGAAGACTGAGCTTCCAGGTACTGTTGGTACAACTGTTGCTCTCCATTATATGTAAAAGTGGCCAGCATCACCCCTTAGTGGTGCCAAGCAAGTGTCTTGGGTTGTGCTTCATCTTCTGCGGCAGCTCTCTTGTGAGTCCATGTACAAGGCTTAGCTCTTATTGAGTTTTAAATATCCCAAATGGCCAATTCTGCTTCTCACAAGCCTTCAAGTGACCTGAGCTGTGCCCCTCTGCATGTCTGAAGCTGTGTCTGCTTGCCCCACTGAGCCTTGGGAAGTCCATGTTCTTGGGTGCTTAAAGGCACGTGGGTGTTGTAACTCCTGAGCACGTGGCAGAGCTGAGGGACAGCATCTGGTGCTCAGTGTATGGGCAATCCTGGCTCCTTCAGAGGGAAGAGGAAGGCAGAACTTGCTGCCTGCCATGTGTGCACAAGCATGTGACCTGCAACAAAAATCCTGTGCTAGCAGAAACAAGCAGTTAAGCATGCTTTCCAGCTGTGTGTTAAGTAGAAATTTCAAGGTGAATATTCCTTTAAAAACATTCAGAAGCAGCTGAAGGCCACACATCTCTTAGCAGGAAAAAAGAGAGGAAATGTGTGTGTAGATACTGGAGATAAGAGGGGAAAAAACAGCTTAAACATTGAAAATGCTTGGAAGAGGGGAGAACCTTTCATTCTTCTTTAGCCTCATCTGAATCTGGTGGTGCAATATTAGCATTGGTTGCTGGGCCTGTAGGATGTAACAAGTCATTAGACTTTAGCAAAAACAGGGATGTTTCACCTAGCAGGAACACTGCTAGTATGTGGGCCTGTTGGGAAGGATGAAGAATACTTGGATCTTCTGAGTTGCTACATTAATGCCTCCAAAACATTTTAATTTGCCTCAGAACAGCATGGAAGCATCAATATTGAATGTGTGTGTACACAGCTGCTCTTGCACAGATGGCAATGATGCCAGAGAGGCACAGCGTGACTTGCTGTGGCTGTGCTATTATGCAGCATAGTCTCCTTTCTGTAGGAAAGACTGAAATATAAGTTTCTGGCTTTACCTTCTCTGAAGTTCTCCTGGGGCCTGCAAGGCTTTGTTTGTTTGTTTGCTTGTTCTAATGACTGAATGAAAACTTGAACTAAGGAGACTTTTTTTAAGGCAGCTATGGCAAGCAGCCACAGAAAGAAGTGCTGTCCTAGCACTAGCTCGGCTGCTCTGGTCTTCCAGTTTCCGGTCTGATATTCTGCTCTGCACAAAAACACCTCTGTGCTGGGACTCCATTCTGATGCAAGTGTTCACTCCGTGAGCGAGTACTTCACTGAAATAGCATTTTTTTTTTTTTAACTTTCTAAAGTAATCTTGCATCTGCACACTTCCTACACTTCCAGAGTGTGGACTGAACACTGGAGGTATCAGCAGACTCTTTAATTAATTGTACTTCAGTGAATATTTTATTCCCTTCCCCTTCCCCCAAATTTAACATGGATTACTGAAGTGATGATGGAGTGGGAAAGAGGAGGCAGGTCATGGAGAACTGAAAGGAGTGAGAAGATCCAGCCAGCTGAGTGACCTTAAAACAGTTAAAAGGCAATCATGATCGGAGCTTGCCAGTTGTTGGATAGGTGCTCTACTTCACTTCCTCTTATGCTATAGATAGATGGAGAGAGAAAAAAAAAAATCTAAGTAGAATTATCTTGGTATAAGCCAAGGGCTCCTGTCATGCTGGCATAGAGGGAAGTTTTCCCCTCCCCAGATACTGTGGCTGTGCTGAGGCCCAGACAGCTGCTCACTACTTGTTTAGGAGTAAGGAACAGTCCCTGTTCCGAAACAGTGAGGGGGAGCAATGTATAAAGTTGATATCTGCATTAGCTTGTGCTCTTCCTTTGCCAGCCCTCCAGAAGAGCCCACTGTAAAGATTGATGATGGTCGTGCTGAGGATGATGAACGGGACAGCTGTTCCAAGTAAGCAAGTGCCTTGTTTACCCCCTTTCCCTCAATAAAAGTTTGAGTGTAAAGTCAAAATGAAAAAGCAGATAGCTTCCTGAATAGAGGAGTCCAGCAAGTCACTCTATAGAAATTTGCTCTAATGCATAATTAAAGCATGAATTTGGTGCTTGTGAATGAATCTCAAACACTTCAATACTTAAATGCTGTGCCATGTTCACTTTAACTGCCCTGGGATGTTGATAAAACTGGAGTACTGTATATGTAGTTTTTAGTGTACATACGCACATACATATGCATACACATACATGCGTATGTTTTTATAGTATACATATGCAAAGATGCTTCTGTTTGTCTTGTTGACTAGACAGACTCTCTATCTTGTGCAGCCTAGTTCAATTAAGCCCAGTAAGATCCAGCTTCATAGCTTCTAACACCTATCCTGATCCTAAACTGCTGAGTTACTGATGTGCTAAGAATATGCATCAAATTAGTTTGATGTTGAAACTATTCTAGAGTAATGTCTGTCTTGAGATGCTTGTGAGCTTTCAATTTGAAAGCCAAATCATTCCCCTTTAAAGGTAGAAGAGGAACTTTTCCTCGTATTCCAACAGCATAGAGGTGGTAGTGGAGCTATTAGCAAGTACTTTTTCCTGATTCTGCAATGAAAAAAAGTATTGATTATGTCATGCCTTAAGAGTGGCATGCATGCTTGTCTTCCTCTTCACCAATAGTTACTACATAGGCTCCAAGTGTTTTATAGATTGTAACTGGTTGGTATATTGCAGACTTCAGTATCACAAATTCAGTGATAGGAGAATGGTGTTTTGCAGGAATGTTGTACTTCTAGGGTCTGTGGCTGATAATGCTTCATCAATTTCCTAGAAGCTATATTTTTTTTCAAAGACTGCCTTAACTTCATGAATGTGACTGAATGAATTAAATACTGTGATATGGAACTCAAAAATAGAAGTACTGCAGCAACACTGCTCTTCTAATATCAGCAGTAAAATGTAATCTGTTTTGACTCCTGTTCTCTTCTCTTACAGTACCATTAGGAGAAAAATATCTCCATTTGTGATGTCCTTTGGATTCAGGTAAAAATCATGCATGTAATGATATAGAGGCAGTTAGATGTAACTCTTACTTCTAGTGTAAGATCATCTTGGGGTTCCTTGAAAACAGTGATGCCACCCTACTGCTTCTGAAAGTTACTGAATCCCATGTCTCTCTCCTTAAAAAGTGACTTTAAAAAAAGAAACTTGATTGGGAAAGAAAGCTTAAACTTCAGGTATAACTACATTCTGTAGGGACAGCAGAAAATCAGTTGACTGATTTTAACCAGTAAATGCTACTGGTTAAACCCAGTGTAAGCCTTTTAAGATCTTTGTGGCAGGTCTTGAACAGCCAGTTGGTCTGCTGTATGCTGAAACAAAGTAAGCTTCTAGACACGGTTCCTTCAAGGGAGTACCTGACCTTGTGAGTGGGAGAGGAGCAAGTTTCAAAAACACAGTCCTGATACTTGTGTGCTTTGGGTCTGCAGCACTGTTAAATATTTGTGGAATCCTTGATTAGTAACTCCAGCGGAGTCTGAGCAAAGAATAAGCAGCTGTGTGTGGACGATGCCATTCTTGCAGATCACTTCAAAAATGAAATTCTGAGTTCAGCTACTTACACAAGCAGACCTGAATCTTGTATGAGAAACGCCACACTTGTCCCAGCGTAAAACAAATCCAGACTTGTGCTCCTCAGCTGGGGATGTCAGTAACTGTGTTCTACTTATCAAGTTGATCCGTGTTTTCTTGCAGAGTTTTTGGAGTTGTGCTGATCATTGTGGACATCATAGTTGTGATTATGGATTTGGCTCTTGGTGCGAAGAGAAGGGATGTTAGAGAGATTCTTGAAGGTGTTTCCTTGGCAATAGCACTTTTCTTCCTCATTGATGTTCATCTGAGAGTGTTTGTTGAAGGGTAAGACCTGGTCAAAGACTTAAGTCAGTATGGCAAGACCTTAAACTAATCGCAGAACAATTATTTAAGCTTGGGAGTTGGGTTATTCTGTAGGCCAGCTGCCTGATCACAGTCAAGGGCCTCGTCCTCTGCCTTGTCTGTTACTCTCTTGTACCAAAAGCATATTACTGATTACTCTACAAATGACCACTGCAGAGCTGTATCAGCATTGATATCCCTTGAGCAGGGTTATCTTTAGTCTGAGTATAGGTTTTTAGTCTGAGTTTCTGGGTTATTTGCAAGTACTTCAACCTATGGTAGAATAGGCTCTTTTGACAGTTATGGGGACATCTGCTTAGAATTTGTCGTCTTTCAGCTTCAAGAACTACTTCCAATCCAAGCTGAATATATTGGATGCATTCATTGTGGTGGGCACTTTGTTAATCAACATGACATACTCCTTCTCTGACCTTGCAGAAGCAGAGCAGATACCAAGGTAAGAGCAGCATGACAGCTGCTAAATGTGCAGTCTCTTACTGGTGTCTTCCAGAAATCTCCTTGGGGCACCTTAAAACTAGGAGTGTGCATACTGTATCACAGATGGGGGGCAGTACTATTTCACAGTACCGGCTCCTAAAGAATAGGGGCTCAGTTTTGGTCTTCTAGTTCTAGACTCAGTTTCAAAGACAGGGATTAACTTAAATATACTGCTTGGGGTGAAGTGAATAGTGGTGCCAGCAAATGTGCTAACATCTCAAGCTTTGAGGATCCACAGCCCCTTTGAAGAAAGCAGAGCCCGTAGTGTATCGATGGAGGGGAAGGGCTGGAAAGGGAACAAGGGAAGTAGCGAACCAAGGGAGGTTCTCCATCCAATGAATCTTGAAATAGAGTCACTGGATGATCCTGTTTCCCCTGCTGCGTTTTTCCCCAAAGCCCCACAGTTGTGTGCTGAAGCTTCAGTCCTCTCCTAGGAAAGGAGGCTATATGCTCTCTATGGAAATATGAATTGAATTGGCTCATCTGGTTTGTGTAGTTTGATCAGACATAGCACTCCTGTGGCAGGAGGCCGTTCCTGATGGAGGCAAGATTAGATTAGTCTTGGATTAGTTTGTGACTTGTGCTAGGTTTGAGGCAGCAGTAAGACTGTCTTGCAACAGCTTGTGAAATAACTTCGGCTCTTAAATGCTTATGACTACTGGATGTGTGGAGAAATGCTTTCCTTAAGTCACATGGCCTTTAAAGAGCATCACTTGAAAAATGAAAGCTGGGTGATTGTTTGGGACTAGTTAACTAATTAAGCACTAGCTCTTACGAGACAGAAAACAAACTAGGTGAATCCTACAGATATACAGGGCTGCTTCTTGAAATTGCAGTTCAGCCTAGGGAGAAAGGCTCTGGAGTCTTTATTCCACCACTCCATCTCCTTGCCTGGCTGCCAGTTTCAAGGGAGCTCTCAAGATGATAGCAGGGAGATCCTGGGCTTGGAGGCAGATAGAAGAAATAAAGATTTGACCTTGGTGTTCCAGGGCAACCTTATCCTCCTGATTTAGGCTGTATGTCAGCAGAAAACACACTATTCCCTTACTTTCAGGGGAAAGCAAAGTTTCAACAACTTCCCCTGTACTTAAGGTTCTGCTAGGTGAATACTTCAGTAGTAAGATTCTTACTAAAGTATATGACCTGAAATATGGATATAAGCTGCTTTTAAGTATCTGCTGACATACCTCCTCCTTAAGTAACTAATAAATGACTTGCCTAAGGATACCTAAGGATATGCAAAAGCAGCTTCCCCTGTGCAGTTTGCCTCTGTAGAACCAAAGATTAAACACAGGGTTTATACTGCTCTGGTCTCGGATTTCTTAGTTAAGGTGTGATGCACAGCCTGTCTAGCTTTATCACCTATTCTTCAGGTGGCTATTTATATTTAGATGTAGATTTGTGAATAAGCTTCAGGGAACAAAAATTCAGGCTTAATAACAGGTATTAAGTGCTGGGGGAACTTCTTGCATGCTGAACAGAGGCTCCAGTAAAAGCCTGTTCAGACAATGCTGCCTAGTTCTATTAGAGCTCTTCAGTACATGTTCCCCCAAAGCCTTTGACAATAAACCAGTGTGTTCTCCAAGCTTGTATTATCTTTTCTCAAAGATCAGTGAACCATGAAAGATGTCTTAGTTTGGTATGTGAAATAAAGCTCTAAGCTGTCTCTGAAACAACTCTTAAATAGCTTTAAAATAACTCTGCACCTAGGCTTATTTTTTTTTTCTCTCTCCCTCTCCGGCTGAACCTGGATCCCATGTAGAATGGTTACCATCTTCCGAGTTCTGCGAATTGTCATTCTCATAAGGATATTCCGCCTGGCTTCACAAAAGCAACAGCTTGAAGTGGTGACTAGGAGGATGGTAAGTAGGCTTGGTAACACAGCTGGGCTACTCCTGCTATTTGCAACTCTTATTTTCTTCCCCAGATACTCATTAACAAAGAATGGGTGGCAAGACTGCCCCCAGGCCATTGGCTTGACACTGGTAATATTACTTGAGCTGTGTCCCTGCCCTGTGTCATTGACAGGATGCTGGAGTTCTGTCTCCAGCTTCAGTGTAGCTCAAGTCCTTTTATGTACTTAGGAACAAGCAGTCTTGGTCCTGGTGCCAGTAACTCTCCTTGCTTCCCCCATAGTCTGTCCTCCCCATGACAGATTCATACTGCAGCTTCCAGAGCTGGCAATATTCCTTCCATTAGGATGAACTTTGCTTCAGAGCAAAATTTCTCAGTGGAGCTGCTATTAATTGTAGTAACAAAGGCTATTCTCAGTTAGTGTTAACTTTGCTGTAGCAAAATGAGGCTCTACTAGTCATGACTTAACTTCAAAGTCCAAATGAATGGTGTTTCCTAGTAATAGGCAACACTTGCTGATCCTTAGCATTCCTTAGGAAGACTAACTCTGCTCCTCTTTGGCAGGTCTCAGAAAACAAAAGGCGTTACATGAAAGATGGCTTTGATCTGGATCTCACTTACATTACTGGTTTGTAGAACTCTTGTAGGAACAAATGGCACCTTGCAGCATGTAATCTCCCCTTAACTGCAATAATTGGTGTTAACTGAACACTGATGAAGTAAAGGAAGCCTTTTTCAGTAGACTAATGAAATCTAACTGAATATTAAAACCTAGGACTTCAGAATATGGATTCTTGGTTCTGTCCTTTTTAAAGATTCTCAACCTCTTGAGAGGTTTTATATGCTATACATAATGATAAATTTCCCCTGAGGTCTAGGGAAGCTGAGTTAAGAAGCCGCTGACTGGCCTGTACTAGTTTTGCATCTGTGATCCTACAGAGACTGCTTAATAGTAGTTGTTCCTTCAGGAAGGCTCTGTTCCATATCAACAGCTGGTCCTGCTGTAGCTGTGCTAAACGCACAGCAAATATATCAGAAATGGACAGGCAGTTCTTATAGCTAGGGCAGAATTGGCAGCTTTGTAATGCTGTTTTCTGAGTTGTGTGTCTTCACAGATCGTATTATTGCAATGTCATTTCCATCTTCGGGGAGGCAGTCTTTCTATAGGAACCCAATAAAGGTAAGCAGCCCCTCTGCTTTGGGAAGTTCAGCATTTCTGAATGCAGCTTTGCTTCTAGGTTTTCAGTAGTTTGTATGTGGATTAGATTGTCTAGTCCTACTGGTTGGAGTGACTAAATGGCAGTCTGACTTGGTGCACTGCTCGTGCATTATCATGTGTAGAATGTGGACATACTTTGTGCTCTGACCTTCTTTTTTGGGAGGTTGCAAGGGAAGGTAAAGACTTCAGAGCCAAATCTGTTCTCTCCCAGGCTGGTAGTAGTTCAGACTATTTACACTAGTCCTCTAAATGGCATGTGAGGCCAGCACTCACGGCTTTTGGGGGACAGTACTGCCTCATATTAATCATAAATGTGGAGGAAGAGAGTCTATTCTGAAAGCATTGCTGAGAGAAGCTGAACAGCTGGACTATAAAAGCCTGTTGCCTATGTGCTGTTTGTTTATGTGGTTGCTCATTACACTAGGAAGAAGTGAGGGGGCAGTAAAAATAAAGAATAGAGCACTAACTACTCTGGACTTGGAATTAGTATCTGTTAACTTTTCAGGAAGTTGCAAGATTTTTGGACACCAAACACAAAGACCACTATAAAGTCTACAACCTCTGCAGTGAGTATATTAGTTTTTCAATATAGCATATACAGTTAGCAGCTAAATGGAGAAGCCTCTCAAATGTGCAGGCAATGAGATCTGCAAGAATTTCACATTAAAAGTACGTAACTGCCAGTGCCTTCTAGCTTCTAGGTGACTGTTGGTCTTAAGCATCTAGTGATTATACAAGGATGAAAACCTTGATGCTTTGCATTTCAGGCTTTCTTGCCCATGCTGAACAGTTGCTTCCATCTTCTGCAACACTAAGAACTAGAGCTAAAACTTGGGGTAATTTGGGGGAGTTTTAGGTGTCAACTCTTTTTACCTCATTCTAAGCCTTCACTATCTGTTTCCAGAGGTGGCTGAAATAATGAAAAAGGCTATAGGAACAGCTCTCTTGTAACCTATTCACAGCTAAATAGTAGAGCATTGGAGCTGGAAGCTGGCAAGTTATGACACTAAGAATTGACACTGAAGCCCTGAAGAGGCAAAACTGGCCTCTTTGCCAGCAGAGAAGATAGATGAAGGGTCATGGAGGAAGGTCACAGTAGCTCTCTCAGCCTGTTTGTAGGTGACTGCTGATGGGGTTGGCTCTGAGCGTGCTTCAGAGCCCCAAGCAGCCGCTATGGGGAGGAGTGGCTGTTTCTGAGCTCTGACTTCCTAATCAAAGGAGGGTGGTGGTGGGGAAATAGCCTGTATTCCAGCATAACTTGCCTTTTTTTTTTTTCTTTTTTTTTCTCCCTCCCCCCTTGGATCTCAGTACTGTACTTGAACACTCAATTATATGTTCAGGCCAGCAGTTAGCAGTCTAAAGGCACTTCTGTTACAAACATATTCCTTTTCCTAGTATAACCCTGGATTTTTCTTTTTTTTTTTTTTTTTTCCTCCTCCCCCAAGGTGAAAAAGGCTATGACCCCAAGTACTTCCATTACAGGGTGGAGAGGATCTTTATTGATGACCACAATGTCCCAGCACTAGAGTGAGTATTGTCAAAAAGCAAAACCAAAAGAGCAGGGCAGTAAGTAGTTCTACATGGGATCTCAGTCACACTAATTTCTCGTGCTCAGGGAGATGCTGAAGTTCACTGCCAGTGTCCGTGAGTGGATGAGTCACGATGAAAAGAACATCGTAGCCATCCACTGCAAAGGAGGCAAAGGTAGGATGTGCATGTCACAAATTAATCAAACCAAAGCAGTCAGGATAAGAATGGTGTGCAAGTACAGCTGCAAACCAGAGTGGCCAGCACTTGTACAGCTGCACTAAACCCATCACTGTGGGTTGCTGCTCACACTGTGAGTAGCAGTACTATAATGCTGCCTGCTCAGTGTTGCACACCCCATTTCTAAGTGGTCCAAATTAATTCTTAAACTGGTCTCTAAAATGGTTTTCAGTCAGTTCCAGCCATTCTGTCCCAGCTGATAGAGGCTGGAGATAGAGAGACCCTGAAGCTGCTGCTTCCAGAAGTGTTGAGCTGCAGCTCCCTGGCAGCCTGTCACCTATACTGAGTATCCTGCGTGATGATGTAGCTGGAGCTGTTGAGTTTTCGGATGAGCAGTATCCTGTGTACTGATGAATCTCACATACACAAGGCCTTGTGATAAGTGGAACAGAAGATACTCCTCAGGACACAGGTAGTGAAGGCTGCTGCCTGTGAGCTGACCTGCAGGTGCTGTCTGCAGTCTGGAGTGTTGAAGTGTGTACAGAGCTGGGCAAATAAACCAAACTCCTGCATGCATCTGACCCATCTTCAACTGCCTGTTGTTACTACTCCAAATACTTGGATTAAAGGTGCTTAGCACACAAGACATCAGCCCTTATGTAAAACATCTTTGCAGTAGCAGTCGGGAATCATTCCAGCCTTAGCAAGGTTGGAAAAGAAGTTGAGGCAGAAAAGTAACTCTTGACTTGTAAGAGACGGCAGTACCAGTCTACAGTTTATTTAATGTGGGATACTGCACTCTGTTTTCTGCACCTGATCTGGGTCAGTTTTTGAAATATCTAATAATTAGACAGAATTGTGGCTCCTGCTTTCAAGGAGCAACAGTTTCTTGCCACAGCCAACTGCTAGGTTTTGTCTTAAACTTATTCTTCTCAGAAATGGCTTTGTTTTTTTAGCCTGTGCCACTAATATCATTCTTTTCCATCTTGCTGTTTGACTTCATTTTTGTAAAACATTATAAATACATTTGAAAATTGCTGTAGTTTAATGTCTCACTCCTGTTCCAGGCAGGACTGGAACAATGGTCTGTACCTGGCTCATAGACAGTGACCAGTTTGAGAGTGCAAAGGTAAAAACTGATGTTTCCCTCCCAACTCTTTTGGTCTTTCAGGTGCTTCTTTGGTATTTAATTAGTGGATTGCACTAATCCACTAATATAAGCTTTACAGAAAGCTTATATTGAAAAAGGTGATATTGGAAATAGTCCCTGAAAAAAGCTTTCTGAGAACTTGGCTCCTATGTTGACTTCATTCCGGCAAAGGCTCTTTCTGGTCAGAGAGGTTTGGGAGAGTAGAACCTAATAAAATATGAACTTTCAAACCTTTCAAGGGGTGAGGCATAACAGGTTTAAAACACAAACTTGCTCTAAGTGGCTTTTGAGTAGGCTTTACTAAAGCTGGTATTTGTGTGTGTGTGGTTGTGTGTGTGTGTTGTTGTGGTTTTTTTTTTTTTTTTTTTTTTTTTTTTAGCAGCCTTGTACAGTTGTTGCTTCCCTTGCTGTCCCTGCCCACAAGGTAGTGTGAGGCATCAAGACTTGCTGGTGGTTCTGTTTTTACTGGCAGCATTATTACAGGAAGCCCTTCTGGGAAAAGGGAGAAGGATTGGGAAGCACTCGGCTGGGGCAGGTTCGTGCTGGTCTAGCAGACCAGGGATGCTGATCTGGAGCCCTGGGTTGCTGGAGGCCCTCAGCCCAGGCCCTCTGAGGGGGCATGTCTGTCAGGTTGGCTTCCTCCTTTCTGCTGGGGTTAGTCTGCATCTCTGCAGACTAATGTTTAACTCCTTCATGGCCTAGGCTAGAAGTACTGAGCAATTGGTGTAGAAGCATCTGTAAGCTCAGGCCCTTTGAAGGCAGAAAATTATTAGCTGTCTCCTAGGTGAAGGACTATTTAACCTGTCTGTCTTTAATTTGTGATTCTTGCTCTAATTAAACTCTCTTAAGATGTACTAGGACAAGTATTGTCTACCTCACTTGCATGCTTGGCTTAAACTGCTGCTAGATTTGAATTAAAAAGAACTATGCTGATGTCTCCTGTATGGGAAGGGGAATGGTGGGAGAATCTTGACAGTTGCAGTCTTCCCATGTAGGAGAGTTTGGACTACTTTGGGGAAAGAAGAACTGACAGAAGTACAAGTACCAAATTTCAAGGAGTTGAAACTCCTTCCCAGGTAAGCCTGGCCAGGTCCAGTAGCAGTGGCCAAACCAATTCAGAGCTTTTAAGCCCTTCTCTTGCCAGCTTTTGAGTTGTAGCTTCCTCCTGTATTCTGCCCCCCCCAAACTTACTGTACTCAGGGTTTCTATGTAGCAAATAGCCCATCAGCTGGCAGGGTTGTACTGTATCTCTTGCCTTTATTCACACACATGTGCTTTGCTTCACACTCAGTGCTGCCACTTCACTAGCCCTTCCTGATGGTATCCAGGCTGGCCCTGTAAGACAGCTGGGCTGTTCAGTGACTCGCTGCAGCCTCCAGCTGGCCTAGGAAGGGCTCTGGTACTGCTGTAGCTGGGTGGAGGAGTGCATCCTGCACAGGCAGTGCTCACACAGAAGCAAGAAACGTGCCTGAGACTGCCTGAGACTTCAGTTTGAGTCCATGCTCCTCTTGACTTAACACATAACATGAGATATGTTGAGACAGAGCTGGTGGCTGAGGCATTCCAGTCCTGGTGTAAAACAGAATGGAGTGCAACCATCATCTTGCAGTATCTAATTGTTTAATTAGCTCTGTAAGGGGTGAAATGCTTAAATATACAGGATTAACTTTCAACTTTCTGCTAGACACAATAATACAGATTTCCTCTGAAATTCCAGTTATACTGTTTAAAATTTAGTTCAACCTCTCTAGATCCCTGATAAGGGGGTTCCTTGAACTGGGGAGGGGGAAGAGAATGACTAAATACTTTGTACTTGGTACTAGACTTAAATGAGCTACAAACTTGGAGATCTCTTTAATCCTACTTTTGACTGGCGTTAGTCTGTGAGGTGTACAAGCTGTACTTAATGTGTCTGGGTTTTTTGCATTACAGAGTAGGTATGTTGGGTATTATGAGATCCTGAAAAACAAGTATAACTTGAAACTCCCACCAGAGAGACAACTCAAAATAAAAAACATCAAAATCCACTCTATACATGGTAAGAACACTTGAATTTGGACATTCCTCTATCTGGTAATAGCTTCCTAGTACAGGCAACTGTACTCTGCACTGTCTCTCTTCCTAAGCCCAACATAAACATGTTAAGATTTGAGAGCTCAAATAGCACAGCTGAAATGCAATGAGAAGCACCCTGGAATGCAATTTCACTCCACCTTTTGAAATCTGTCTTTTTCTGGGTGTCTGGGTCAAATGGTGGCTCACATCAAACCTGCTCTGCTTTGGGAGGGGAATCATTATTATATGAGGCTGGCAGCATGTGGAACTGGATACACTTATGTTCCCCAGCTTGATTATACTCATATAGTCCCTTTGTAGCTGTAATTGGCAAAAGGTTGAGTACAAACTCTGGCCCTACACACTCTTGGGGGGAGGTCTTAAACCACTGTCCTTGTCCACAGCAAGTGGAGCTAGAACCTGTAGGCCACTCCTAGCAGGATTTGCTGCTATTGCAATGTGGAGCTTTCCACCCTTGAAATTTGAGCTGCTTTCAGCATCCAAGTTCCCTAAAATCTGTTGCAAGGCCTTTTGAAAAAGGACATGTTCAAGTATGGCTGCACTTGGGTTTCATTGCCACTTAAGGTGCACTTTGGTAATAATGCAACTTTTTTTTCCCTAGGGGTTGGGAAAGGCAACGGAACTGATATGAAAGTGCAGATAATAGTGAGAAAGCAAGTTGTGCTGGAGTGTGTCTGTGCCACTCAGGCCAACTGCAAGGTAAGAAAGTCATGAATTCAGGTTATCCAAGTCAATGTACAAGTGAACTTTCAGCTTCTGTGGCATGTGGTCCTGTTAAATACTGCACGAGACCTAAATAGACACAGGAAATTCTCTTGAAGGTAAAATAGCCAAACTTTGCAAACTCATAGGAAAAACAGAGAAAATATGATGAAAGACTTCGCATTTTCACAGAAGTCAACACTTAAACACAAGTAACAGTTTCCTCGGACCTGAGCGACTTGAGTTGTTGGCTGCTGTTATAGCCCTGCAGTCTTATTCATTTGCAATGAATGAGTAGCTTGGTATTGTCATGAATTAATCTCTTGTCTCCTCGTGTTAGATTTTAATGAAGATATTGCTCTGTTTTCTTGCCCAGCTCTTCTTTGATTCCGAAGACAACTCTGTAGTCATTGGTGTGGAAGACAGCCCTGTTATAAGCAGTGATGTGAAAGTCAGATTTGAGTCACGAGTAAGTAGAAGAGCATGAAGAGAAGCCCGGGTGGGAGCAGCCTGGCGAGCTGTGGCTGCCTCTTGGCCAGCCCTGCTGCTGTATGGAGCAGGGTCTGCCTCTTGCCCCAGAGAGCGCTGCTCTGTGGGGCAGCCCCACTGCAGCAGCTGTTCTCCCATCCTGTGTGCAGGGAGTGGGGAAGTAGCAAGTGCTGCTGGCTCCCTCTGGGCAGGCAAGGAGGGAGCCTGGCTGTTCACCCGGGCACTGAGTTGGGGTGTCTTAGCTACCTGGCTGCTTTTAACCAGTCTCTAACCACCTCCCATGAAGTCTGGCTGGCCTAGTCTGAAAACTCCAGTGAGAGCAACTCTGGTGCTGTGCTGGGGGCTGCTAGAGTGGGCTGCCTCTGGCTGGAGCTTCTGAAAGCCAGCTGATGGGAGGAGGTGAGAATCTGTAAAAATGAGTCTAATGAAGTCCTTAAACAAGGTTTTTTATGTCTAGGCTCTCCCAAAAGGCTACGATGACTGCCCATTCTTTTTCTGGTTTAACACTTCCTTCATTGAGAATAACAGGTAAGTAATCAGTGACTCCTTTGAAATCCTTGCTCTTGGTGCTTGATCAAAACTGACTGGCTAAATGTAGTGCTCAGAGCTGAGATAAAACAGGCCCCAAGCCAGTTGTCTTGTGTGGTACTGGTTTCATTCTTCATTTTAACTTGTAAACAGGTACTTGGCACATATGTGCTGTACCAAATACTTTTGGAACATGTGAGATCTCTATCTTAATCAGGTTAATTTATTGGACTCTTCCCTCGCTCGCTCTTTTGACTTTCAAGATAATTAACAATACTTGGATACTGCTAACCCCTCAGACAATAGGTTTCTACTGTGTGGCTGCCTGAGCAGCTAGAACTCAAATTCAGCAGCTTAGCAGGAGGGGAAAAAGAGTTGTCAGATGCTGATACTTCATATCCCACAGAGTGGCTCTTTAAGCTGTTGCTTCTCAAGATCTTGGTAAGGTAAAACTACAGTCATTTCTTTCTTATTGAGACTAGAACTCCTGGTGGAACATCAGCCAGCAAAAGCTTGTCTTGTTGGCCTTGCCAGTAGGGTGATATAGAAATGCAGAGACAGAAGGTCAGTCCTTCTTTGTACTGAAATATGATAACTTAGATGAGGGAACAAGGAAGTGATCACTTCTATCTTGACTTAATTGGTCCCACGGGAGTGTGAGAGGGGGTAGTAGTGAGTCTGTGTCCATAAATCTAGGCTTAGTGCTGAGCCAGTGAGGCACCCTGCAGTCTAGGTGTAGAGATCCAGGTGGATTAACGGAGTGAAGGGGGGTGAGCGGCTGACTGAGAGGGCGGCAGCAGCACTGTCTGCTGCAAGGGCAGCCCCCTGTCCTCCAGTTCACTGCAACTGCCAGCCTGCTGCAGCCAAAGTCATCACTAGACTTGTTTAGAGAGTGTAAGAAGTGGGAGACCTGGCTGAGCTTGAATGCTGCATCAGATGCAAAGTGGCCTTCTACGTGTGTGCTGTACAGAGGCATTTAGCTGAAAATAACTCTGTTCTGAACTCAGTAATAGTCTTGCAGATATACTGGGGCTCTGGAAGAACAGAATGGGGCATGAGGGGCAAGGGGGGAGTCAGGTTAATGGTGTTTCTTGGAATAGTTAGGCAAGGAGTCCCCTGCAGTTAAGACTAATGATTGTCTGAACTCAAACTAGGGCTATATTTGATGCTTCATATCTGAACTTGAAGTTTCCCCTTGGCTTATGTAAAGGCCAAGACTATTTCCGACTGCAAAACACATTATTGAATCTTGTGTTTCAGACTCTACCTTCCCAGAAATGAGCTGGACAACCCTCACAAGTCTAAAACATGGAAAGTCTACAGCGAGAAGTTTGCTGTGGAGGTGAATTTCACTGAACCCTAAGGGAAGGCTCCAAAAAGGGAAGCACTTAAACTTATTTTCATTCCTGGAGAATATCTTGCTTTTTTGGTATGAATTGAAGCAGTTGTATTCCAATGTACTTGATGTATTTCTATGTAGATACTATTTCACAAATAAACTGTGACACGAGGTTCTGCTGGGCAGAGCAGCAATATTCTGGACTAGCTTAGTGTCTGTTGCCATGTTAATGAGCAGTTGGGGCTTTTACATGCAGATAATAGACCCACTACACCATAACTGGATGCATTTGCAGAGTGCTGCTTGTTCCTCTATTCATCTGACTTGCCTACCTCTAAGCAAGAACCCTGTCCTGACCATGGGTGGAGAATGGTCTGCAGGACATGCCAGGGAGAGTCTGAGACCTCCTCCCTCAGCAGGAGGGTTTTTTCCAGGTCAGTAGAAGGAGGGGAAGGGGGGATAAGAACAAACAGTATCTAGCACAGGCAGGCTTGCCCCTCCTGTCTGTCTTCTGCCAAAGAATAATTCATGCCCCATGTATTATGCAGTAGCATAATATGAGTATTGAGTAGTATAATATGAACAGCAGGTGGCCTGGGAGCAGAGGGCAGCTGGCTGGGGGCTTGGAGAAGGCCCTGCGGTACAGGGTGGCCGTTCTCTCGCCCTCAGTCCCGGCTCTGCTGCTGTAGCCCTGTGCTCAGCAGCCCCTGAGCATGCAGGTACCCGGGCCTTGCCTGAATCCCTGTGCGTGACGTGGTCGAGCTGTGCTTTGGCAGCTCTGGGCTCACACTGTGAATACACTGTGCAAATACCCTCAGCCTCTCTCAAGCTATGCTTGTAGCAAGGGAAATGCATGAATTCTTGTGTTGCTTCTACCTGTTCTCTGCAGTGCAGCTCTCTGTTGAAGCCTTTCTTGTTCTGAAGCAGTTCTGAGGTTAGGGTTTTGGTAGGATTTCCTTGAAGTGCTCTGGATATTCAACAGCTGGAGCTCTATTATCAGCTACCATGAGGAGTAAAGACATAACTAGCTAATACTCAGCTAATGAAGTACATAAACCTACATGCTTAGTTGAGGGTAGTCACATAGTATGAAGGACATGGATAGACTCAAGCTTGACCACTGCTGTCTCCTCATCCATGTTTTGGGACTAGGATGTTAAAACTGTATCATAGTAGGTGAGGTATAGGTCTGATAAAACCCTCAAGTATGGAAGTCTGCTTTAGATGACCAGAAGTGTCTTAATGTTCCACAGTTCTAGGAGGGGGACAGTGAGTCTGGGTCACTTCTTGGGCACGTAACTGTTGTAAATGGAAGACACTGCTGGAGATCCTGTGCAAAGCAGGCCTGGCTGCTTGTGGCTTTCAGCTCTGACCAGTTAAGCACCAGTCACGGTGCTTTGTGGCCTCATCACTCTTCCCTGCTTGGAATTTCATGTTACAGCTTGTGGCTGTAGTTGTATCTTGCCCCTTGTGTGTGTCTGAGAAGAGTCTGGCTCTGCCTTCTACTGTGTGAGTGGAGAAGGCTGTAAGATATCCCCTTTGCCTTCCCTCAAGGGAAGGGGACAAACCCTGTTCTTGCCACTGTCCCCTTGGTCACTTTGTTTTCCTGCAGTAGGTCAATGCCTTTTTGGTGTTGGAGCATGAACCGGGACACAATATTTAAGATTTGGACCTGAGAGGCACAAACGCAGGGGCAGAGCTGCTTGGTGTGGGGGCCCTGCAGTCTGGGCACTGACTTGTGCTCCTGTGCCCACCTGGTCCCTGTCTGCAGAGCTCTTCTCACCAGGGACCTGAGCGTGCAGGGCTGCAGGAACCACTGTGAAGCAGTCACTGCAGCACAGCCCCACCATCCCTCACGGCTGAGCCATACGGCTGCTCCTCGAGGCTAAGAGGTGGCAGCAAAGCTAACGCCATAGATAGATAGGCAGAAAAAACATCTGCTTTTGTAGGAGAAGGAAGCTGTGCCACTAGAGGGCAATGGAGCAGGAGAGGGAAGGGGCAGCTGCCTGTGCACACCCTGGATTAAGGTACTGTTTCATTGCAGCTGGGGAGGCTGGCGGCCAAGTTCCCCTTGGCTCGGGTCAGGCAGCGGGACCGCGCTGTCCTGGGCTGCCCTCTCCGCTCCCCGCGCGGCACCTGCACGCCGCCCAGGGCCAGTGTCTCCCCTTGCCTCGAGCCCAGCGCGGCTGCGGCTGCTGCGTGAGCGAGAACGAGCAGGACGGGCACCGCGCCAGGAGCTGCGCTTAAAAACTGGCCTTGTGGGGTGGAAGACGGTCACTGCCTCTTGGATTCTCCCTTTTGCAGTGGCCTCGCTGCTGTTGGCTGGTTTTTCAAAGTGGTGGAGAAAGCTGTATCTGCAGGCTCTGCAGAGGAAGAACTTGCTGTGTTTAGGCTCTCTGCTTTTAAGAGTAGAATTCAGATGACCTGAGAAAGCCTTCAGCTAGGTCGGATGCCTGGTGTTCTTCTGGCAAGAAACTTGCTCTTACAGCTAAGTATCATGTTCATCAAACATGCGTTAAGATCTAATATTAGACTTGCCTTTAGTACTAACAGCGCCACACTTAGCAGAACACAGCAAATCTGCTTTTAGTTACAGCACCTTGTGCCCTTGTCCTGCTCAGGCCTGATGGCTTCAGGGTTTCAGTGACTGTTTCTGGAAGTTCCTTGGATTCTAGAAGGATGGTGGTGCTGACTTTAAACTACCTGTCTTTGGTTTTTCAGCCACATGAGTTTGCCAAGCTCCACTCTGTAAACAGTAAGCAGGGACTCGGTTAGTCAAATCAAACTTTATTCCCATGAGTTCTTATCCCAACATTACCAAATTTTCAGGGAGCAGAACACCGAACAGTTGACATGGGTACACAGCCTCAGCAGCTGTGACACCTGTATGTTACTGCTTAGTTCAACTTCAACATGTAAACTCTCAAAACACATGTTGACTTCAGCTGTAAGCTTAGTCCTAAAAATCCTGCTTCTCTTGAAGCCTCAACTTTTGTATTAAAAATTCCAACTGTCAGCTTTTAAAAATGAAAGCAAAGACAAATCTAAGAAATAGATTGGAATATTTCACTGCTATGGACTCAGGTTTTACCTTTTCATAGCTATATCATTTATCTTGTGCTAGACAAGTTTGAAAGGAAGTCTAACACCTCTGAAAGCCCCACCTTGGTACCTGAAGTGTTCCAACATTTGGCATAAATCCCCTAAACTACCGAGTCTGCACTGTGTAAAATGGCCTCCAGGGGGGCGGTCACACAAGGTAACGTGGTGCAAAGTCACTGAGGAGTCTTTGGCCCCGTGCTGCTTGTGACCGTCGTCATGGGCGTTCAAGGTGAAACGATTAGTTCGTGTTGCACATGAGGCGGCGTTTGCAGAACTGCACAGACCAGGTTTTTATCAGGAGGTTAGAGCAGTGCCAAGGAGGTTAGTGGAACAATCAATTTAAGTGAACTGCAGTTTTGCTGTAGGCACTAAGGTGTTGTGACATCTGTGCCTAAAGCTTTTTCTTCCTTCTGGGTTATGAAATGTAAATTGTAACAGCTCAGTTTTACAGACTACAGCTGTGTTGGCTAGAATTTCCAATGGCTGGGGGCTAATCTCTGGCGAGGAAAAACTCTGTCTTTAGAGCTAGTGTAGCTCAGGTGACCTTGGTGGGCAAAGAGCTCTGCCAACCATAGAGCCTGGGACCCCACGTTGGCTGGGGTAAGCACAGAGCCACCACCCTTCCGTACAGCTCCAGGGGCTTGTGCTGCTCTGAGGTCTACCTCAGCAGCAGGGCCGCTTTTCCAGGATACACAGCACAAAAGGCAAAGCCTCTGTAACAAATACACTGCTACAGAGTGAAAGGGGCATCTAGGTGTTAGCACATCACTGCAGACAGCGGTGCTGGCCAGGCAGCCCTGGGCTGCACGTTTCATCAAGCAAAAGGAGCAAGCAGCCATTCCCTCCAGGCCTGAAGGGGAGACAGGCTGCCCAGCCGTGGGGGCTCCTTCCCCTCAGCACATGGG